AGTGTTGAAGAGTGTTAATAATGGAAGTGTTGAAGGGTGTCAGTCTTAACACTTGTTTGGGAGAAATTTTTTAAAAAAATTGGAGTGTTAGCAGGTGTTTAAAAGTGTTAGGGGAAACCTCCCTAACACCGTGACTTTTTTAAACACCCCAAATTGGAGTGTTTTGGAGTGTTGGACAAATCTTACCCCTGTAGCTATCCTCGTCTTCGCTAAAAGAATGTTCGGTGGTTTTCTTCATCGAGGCAGCTAAGCTATACTGATTGGTTTAACTCCCAATAAGCAAGCCCACTGAAAAGAAGATGATGTCTGCTCCGTTGCTCAAGGTGCCCTGCCGAGCCTCGTGCTTCTTCTTTGTTTGTGTTATCCATTTGGTACTGATTTTTCAAACTGAAATTATATTGCTTCTGAAATTCTTTTTGGAATTCAAAGTTTATCGAGAATCCGGAAATTTTCTCACAAGTATGTTTTTCTTTGCATTGGAATGGATATTGTTGTGTACTCTCCAGTACATGCGCAATTTATAGTTTACCAATCAACGCTAGTTAAGTTTAAAAACGAATCAGATCATAAAACACTATATTTTGGATTTAAATGAGGACATTATTGTTAATTTATCTTAAAACACTTCCGTTATCAACACTTCATTTTTCTCTCTCTCAAACAAGATAAATTTATGTTTTACACTTACACTCATTTTCCATTTCGGATACTTTAATTATTAATACTTCCATTACTAACAATTTTCCCGATCCATTCCAAACATGCCCTTTAAGAGCATCTCCAATGTGGAGGTGGATTGCTATTCCACATAAGCCAATAGACTCTTTGTTTGCAAATGTAGTTTCCAATGTAAAAAGAAATGGACATGGTCATGCTTAGTTGACAATCACAAAAAAGAGACAAGGTCTAGCATGAGGTCCATATATGGACCTTGGTCTCACTTTGGAGGCTTTGATGGGAGTGCACTCACTTTATTTATTTATTTGCATTGGAGCACAACTTGAATGGACTCTATCGTCTTTTAAGAAAACCGGTGCATTGGAGCACTCACTTTATTTATTTATTTATTTATTTATTTATTTATTTATTTATTTATTTATTTATTTATTTATTTATTTATTTATTTATTTATTTATTTATTTATTTATTTATTTATTTATTTATTTATTTATTTATTTATTTATTTACATTGGAGCACAACTTGAATGAACCCTATCATTTTTAAGAAAACTGGTCCATAAATCAAATAGACTTTTTCCATTGAGTTGCACTTGCCACATCATCTCCAATGCACCGTTGCATTGGTGAGGCTCTAAAAACATCCCATGTCCTTCGATCTACCATCGCAGGTTCGTCACCCTCCGATCCCACACCTGCAGAGATTTTGTACCCGCTTCCATGGATACCCCGCTAGCCTCTTCACTGCCAATGAGATAAACAGATCTCATCTACTATTGAACCACGTTCGTCGATCTACAACAGAAATTCGCGAAGTACAGAAGATCTTTCATCGGTTCAGTAGCGGAATCTCCAGAGAGGTAGGTTTTCATATGAATTTATTCCTTAAGTGCATGTTTATGTTTCACACCAATCTATCCTAAAATCCAAAGGCCTGGTACTGATTTCATGTTCCATTCTTCTATGATGATATCGAGCGAGGATTCTTACTCACGAACAGCTTGACGGGCATTAAAGTTAAGCTTTAATTTTATTAAGAAAATATGTTTCTTGTTTTTTATTCATTATTTTTAAATGCTATCAGTATCAATTTTGGGTAACCATCTGTGCGCTGGACATTTTCTGTTTTTGACTTCAACTCGATGCTCAAATATGAGTGTTATTCCTTAACATTCTGTCCTTAATTTACACATGTGAACTAACTATTTATCCTTATTATTAAAATTGGGGTTCCCGCAATTAAGAGTAATTGTAACTAACTAATACCTGTAGTATAACTCAACGTTTAAATCGAGACAGTATTGAACCCCAAAATGTAATGTTTTTCGATCCTCATCTCACACAAACAAATAAATGCTAGTTGTTGAGTTTTTATCACCCTAAATCAAACAGACTGTTATTCTTTACATACTATTCTCACTTTCTCATTATACATACATTTCAACTAAATTAACTGTTTTACAATAACTAATGAAAAAAACTAACATAAATACTTCTCCGTATATACGGAGTATGATTTTTCTATAATTAAGGAGCAAACCTATCTAATTAATTTAACTCTCCTTACTGTACACACACATGAACTAACTGTAAGTGGAAATCGTACTAAAGTCCTGCTGTATTTTTTTTTTTTTTTTGAAAATTCAGCCCACTTAAACTATATTTTTTAATGTTAAATTTGTGTTCTATTTCTTGAAACATGCCTTCTGCAAGATTGTTATCAAAATATTTGACCTCTAAATCATTCTATATATATGCCTTCTCAGTGAAACAAAAATCAACTATGAATCAAGTTAGTTGTCTAATACATGTATAAGTTAACATTTGTATGTGAGCTTTGCTAATTGCTACACATGAAAGACCAATTTTAACTATACAACTAAAGTACTTTTTAACCTCACCAGAGATAGAAACAGAGCTTCTCTTAGTTGTGGATTTAGTTAGTTTAACCATTTCATTAACATTCAATCAAAAGTAGTTCTTTATCCTTAACTTGAAACATCTAAAAATCATTCATTATAGAAAACATACATTTTTTTGTTAGTATAAGCTAAAAAAATAACAGGTTTACACAACACTCACAGTCTCACACGTAGACGATATTTCTCATATTGCAGACCGAGAATGAAAAAGAGGTTAATAAGAGGTAGAAGGATTGAGTTGTATTCATTTGGAAAGTGTTTGCTATGTAGTACTCCCTCCGTCCCTATTTAAAGTTCCCACTTTCCTATTCTGGATGTCCCTTAAAAAGGCCTCTTTCCTTATTTGGTAAACCAAACAGTGCTAAACAGTGCCAAAGAGTGTCAAATAGTGCCAAACAGTGTCAAAACAGTGCCAAATAGTGTCATTTCCTTAATATGAGTGCAAATCAAAGTGGGAACTTTAAATAGGGACGAAGGGAGTCTTAGTTATAGAAAAATGAATGATCTTTTTAAAAGAAAGTACACATGTCCATAACAGGTTGGCGAGATTTGATTGGCTAAAAATACACTTGTACCAATGAATAGGTTGGCGATATTTTATCGCTGAAAACACACCTGTCCCAATGAATAGGCTGGCTAGATTTGATGGGCTGTATTTTTTACAAATTTAATTATATTTTATATTTGTATCTATATTTGTACACATTCTCCACGAAACAGGTTGTCGGGACTTGATTGGGATAGTTTATAGTGTGTTCATTGATTAACTTTCATCAATGCTTTTACTGTATATGTTTTCTTTATTATTTAATTTTAGTTCTTTGTATTAAAAGTCCCCACTGTAGCTGATATGGTTTTTAAGTAAGTATATTGTATTCTGTTTAATATTTCTACTTTTGAGGCTTTTATTTGGTGGACCCGCGTGCTGCTCTATATTATGAGGATGTTTGGGCAGGTATACTCTTCACAAAACATTTTGCTTTTATATAATGATAGATTGGGATTTTGGCCAGCGACGGGATGTGTTCCATTGCAGCATCTTTGAACGCCGCTCATCCATTTACTCTACCGGCATGGGATGGTATTGCTAGGATTTCAGGTCCACCCACTCATTTCTGGGAGCAGAAGAAGAGGAGACTGAAAAAAAGAGAACTTTTGCGAGCAACCGCGGTGGAGGCTAGACCCAGAAAGGTGCCCGCCATCAGAGATCGGTCATCTGACAATGGCAATGTTTCATTGCAATCTCTGCAACGAAGTGAGGTCACCTCCTCCCCCCTTCGTTCTAGCTGTGATCTAGCCGACGATATGCAAGCTGAAGCTAGTGCAGTGGCGCGTGCAGCAAATGCTTCAGTTTATAGCCCCCAACTATTGTTCAGCAAGTATGGCTCTCGACCCATCAAGGTAGGAAAGTCCCAAACATCATAACTCTTTCACTTCAACATAGATAAGTTTGTCCCTAAGGGATGGATCCAAGATGTAAGGTGCATTTCTTTTTGGATAATGTAGGTTCTGTCTATTTTTTATTTAAAAAAACAAACTCATTAGCACATTAGCACATAGGTAACATTTAAAGGATAAAAGATTTACACAATGAGAAAATAACTTAGATTTTATAATTGTAGTGATCTAGAAAAAGTAATGTTGCATTAAAGCCTAAGAAATGACAAATCAAGGGGAAAATATTTGATAATAAACAGGTTAAAATTTTATCAAATTATCTGAAGATAAAGAATCTAAAAGGTACACATCCAGAATAATGAATTAATTTTTTATGCTAAAAAATTGAAATGAATGTAGTTCTAGAATAATTTATTTTTATTATTATTTGTGATATGAATTCTTTTTAAAAAGTCAGAACTAAATGAATTTTGTAATTTTAATGTCACATAAACATTCAAATTTTGGATTCACTACACATTATCTAAAAACTTTTTAACCAGTTTGTCTTGCATTTAGTATAGTTTGATGATTTACAAAATCGAGTACTAATGATCTAATAAAGATAAATTAAACATTACAAAACCAGGATTCTTTTACATCTCGTATTAAGTATTATTTTATGTAAGGCTATAAATTAATTTTGAAAACTAAAAGATAAATGAGGTGAACATGTATATATCTAATTAAAGTATAAAGTTTTATAAAAATATTACATATATAATAGAAAAAATTGAGAGCCCAAGGGGTGGCCGCCCCATGCGTTCCTCCCAAAATCCATCCCTGTTTGCGCCCCTTTTCTTCTGAATTATTGGCATTTGGTATTGTGCAGAACTCTTGATAACATTTGGCTTTTATCGTTGGACTTTGATAATAGACAGTGAGCAGAGCATTCGAGATACTACTTGGACTATGTTCATTTGCCTTAAAACTGTGGCTGGACAAATTGAACGGCCATCTCAACCAAAACAGAAGACTGCGTGCAGTTGAGTTGAGGCAGATTTTCACTAGTTTAGGTCCTACTTTTGTTAAAATCGGACAGGGATTATCCACCCGACCTGATTTATGTCCTCCAGAATTCCTTGAGGAGCTATCTAAGTTGCAGGTACACACCGTGCTTTTTATATCCTCATTCTTCTTCTTTAAGGTTTGCTGCCAAAAGATAAATTGATATATTTCATCTCTTCCATTTGGATTCGATACCACATAAATGTTCTACTAAAGGAAATTAAGGACAACAATTGATCACCCATGCTCAATTGTAAATGGGTCCCAAACACATAACACGTTTGATTTATGGGTTGAGAGGAAAGTAAAAAATATTCATATAAAAATTCATACTTTTTAAAGTACTCGCTGAAATTGCTTCTAAAGAGATCTAAAAAAAGTTTTCCAAAACCAGTATTTGGAATAGTTTATGAAGATATCTAAAAAAGCGCTTAAGTAACTTTTCAAATAACCTTTGGAAAATTTTTCTGAAAGAGATCTCAATTAACTTTAAGCGGCTGATTTTGACTTTGGGCTTGTGACATATACTCATTGGTGCTACTCCAACATCCCAGGAGAGCGAACCGCTAACATATCGGAATTTGATAGGGACTTGTCCCTATGATAATCTTGTAACTGCGGGAACTCGTTATGACTTTTGTAGTACATACACATAATCTTTCTCTTTAAATATTATTTCATTCTATTTTGACGTTTATTTAAAAACATCCTTAAAAATCTTTTAAAAGAACAACATAATTGACAGTCTTAATTATGCCAAATAACAAGTACTACCTCCGTCCCGGCTTAAACTTCTCGTTGAAAAATGACGCAATTATTTAGACAATAATATAATATGACAATTGAGCATATTTTGAAATTTAGTGTTGATGGGTATATAACATAATTGGAAATACGAGAATCGTGTTTCCGAAAACAGAATTAATTCCACTTTAGGTCCTCCGAGTTTTGTGTCATTTCCATATTTAGTCCTCGTCTTTCACTTTATCCATTTTTGGTACCTGACTATTGTTTTCTTGACCATTTTCGGTCCATCTCTGGGTATTTTTACTACCGGAAAAGGACTATATATGGTCAAGAAAACAATAGTCAGGTACAAAAAATGGATAAAGTAAAAGACGAGGACTAATCGTGGAATTGGTGCAAATCTCAAAGAACCATAAGTGGAATTTCTTCCCGAAAATATATAGGACACGAAGATGGGGGAGACCTCTAAATATTAAAACATATAAGGGGAGACCTCTAAATATTAAAACATATACGGATATATATGTACACGTGTTTTTCATTTATCAATATGCATTTTTTTTTCATATAACTTATTTAGTAAGGCAATAATAAATTGGGGTTTTGACATGAATATTACTAATAAATGGATAATGTGGACAAAAAAGTGACAATTTTTAAATTTCCAAAAATGTTACTAATGAGCAGTAAACTTACTAATTTACCCGGGACAACCGAGAGCGTCACACTTTGACACGAGCTGATAGCAATTGAAGAAACCTGCGATCAGGGGAGATCTGTTTGCGACAAAACCTGAGGCCTGGGAGATGTTGTCTGCGGCGAAACTGGCGAACTGGAAGAAGCTGTTGATGACGACGCACTGTGAGACGCGGCTAGCGACGTACTGTGAGGAACTGCTAGCGTTGACGAATGTTGAGAATCTGTTTGCGATGGCGGACTGAAAGACACGGTTCGCAACTGCGAACTGGGAGAAGTTGTTCATGACTGCGAACTGGGAGAAATCGTTCGCGACTGCGAACTAGTAAAAGTGCTAAACGACGATGCTGAGTCCTTCGTTTCCGAGGGTCGACGGCTCCTACCTGCCCACGATCGGTGATAGGTACCAGCCTATTAGAGTATTAGACTATTATTAGAATAATAATAATAATAATAATAATATGAGTAATAAGGGTACATGAATATTGTAGTATAAATAGACGGGAAAGGGGAGTTAGTGGGAGGCTTTTAGACATTTGGTCTTGGGACTGGGAAGGATACGAGACTGAACATCTCTATCTTTTGGGGCTTCGGCTTTGGGGGCTTCGGCTTTGTACTTGTTACTGTTCATTATCTCTTTCAATAAAGATTTCTCTAACATAGTTAGAGGTCTCTAACATTGGTATCAGATAAAAACGATCTTCCTACCTGTAGTCGTGTACATGGCAGGAACGATGGAAACTTGGGAGCAAAAGATGGAGAAGTTGCGCGAAGAGATACGCAAATTAAGCATGCTAAGAAACAATCAGCGTTCTGATAAACCATCGCAGTCGCGAAAGTCACAGAAGGAGCCGATAATTGTTCCGCATTTGCTAAAGGATCCGCGCGGAAAATTGGGGAAACTCGCGGAAACGATGGAGCGCGGAAAAATGGAGAAGGAGAAGAGCTTAAAATCGGAGAAAGAAAAACGCCCAAAACTGGAGAAAGAGAAACGCTCAAACCTGGAGAAGGAGAAAAGTTCTAAACCGGAGAAAGAGAAACGCTCAAGCCTGAAGAAGAGAAGAGTTCTAAACCTGAGAAAGAGAAACGTTACAGCCTGGATAAGGAGAAGCGTGAGAAGAGCAAACAACATAACTGGCGAGGACGATCGAGGAAGGTACGTCGCTGCGTGAATTCGAAAAGCAAAGCTCCATCTCAGTCACAAGAATTCCCTAGTTCGCAGTCGCGAATTGTTTTCTCAGTTCGTCCTTGCCAACCGAGCATCTTCTATCGTTATCGCAAGTAGATTCTTACCCTGCGCCAGACTTGTCTCTTGATTTGCAGATGACATTGCAAGCCATAAATCCCAGTGTGCGAGTGTCAACATGCCCACATGAATCATCTGTTTCAGAATCTATAACCATAGCCGCATCAGGAAAAGGATTAACAGGGACTATAGCGAAGTGGCACCAACAGTTTCAGAAAATAGCGAAGCTGACATTCTGATGGTATGTGATAGTGATGTTTGTGTGGTCAAGTCCACATTGACTTTTGGGTTTGTACAGGAGAGGAACTGGCTTAATGTTTTAAAATCTGTAATGATGGACTGTGATATATTACACATTGCTTTGGAAGGGCTGAAGTCATTGAACAAGTTTGATAGATTCGGATGTGAGGGTGTTACTTCGATGATAGATAATCAAAATGGGTTGGAAGGAGAATTTTCTGGGAATATTACAGAGTATGAGGGATATGTTTCTGGTGTTGGAGTTGTCATGTATCTGATGTTTGTTAAAGATCTCAATCCTGGTCGTTTCCCTGAGGCCATTATAGGAGGTGTAGGCTTAGACTATCAGTTTGATGATTCTGCTGTGGCAAATTCTTATTCTGTGGCTAGAAGCCCATCTTCTATGTCCATTGTACTCGTGAATGGCATTTACAGGGACTTTGTCGGCTCGTATCTGGACTCTTCCATCTTCCAGCATCAACAACAAAAATTGAATGTTCCTGGTTCTTTCAATATGCTGACTATTGGAAAAGAGATTCTTTTTGAAGTTCAGTCAACCACTCAGGTATGGGAATCTGGCACTGAAAACACGAGTTGCTATTCGTTGGTCATCCACCCGGAACCACTGGTGTGGACAATACTTTCTAAGGATGACTTGGTGGATAATTTTACCTATGATGTCTTGAAACTGAACCCAAGGACTCTGTATTATGGTTGGAGTTCATGGTCCTATTTTCGTAAAGGAGAGGTTATTTCTTATCACCCAGGTGGTAAGAATGCAGACCATGATATTAGATATTGCTATGTGATGGTGGGCAATGATCAAGGTATATCAAGAGTTTCAATTCTGTAAGAAATGTCACTCATGACATGTCACAGAGTATACATATCAGAAGCTAAAATCCCAAGGAGTGAAGCAACTGAAAACCGAGGACTTGCATTATACTCTGAAGCAAGAGCTACTAGCAAATGGAATATTGAGCAGAAGGTGATGAATGAAGATCAGTATTAGCAAATGGAACATGATAGGAACCAGCCTATTAGAGTATTAGACTATTATTAGAATAATAATAATAATAATATGAGTAATAAGGGTACATGAATATTGTAGTATAAATAGACGGGAAAGGGGAGTTAGTGGGAGGCTTTTAGACATTTGGTCTTGGGACCGGGAAGGATACGAGACTGAACATCTCTATCTTTTGGGGCTTCGGCTTTGGGGGCTTCGGCCTTTTTATTTGTTACTGTTCATCATCTCCTTCAATAAAGATTTCTCTTGTTTCTTGATATTAGCTTCTGTAATCTCTGAATAGTTAGAGGTCTCTAACAGAACATAACCACCTGAATAGTATGGATGCTTTGAAGGGAGAGGATCTAGTGCTGTTTTTGCTAGAAGTGAGGATGAAGATTCAAGAATGGAAACTCCTTGACCAACCTACAGTCATGTATTGGGAAGAAAGAGGAGCAAGGAAGAAGAAGAAGAAGCAGAAGATTGTGGCTGTTTCCTATCACCCACCTTGAGGGCAAGGTGGATGTTTAGGGAGGGAGTATTGATAGGAACCAGCCTATTAGAGTATTAGACTATTATTAGAATAATAATAATAATATGAGTAATAAGGGTACATGAATATTGTAGTATAAATAGACGGGAAAGGGGAGTTAGTGGGAGGCTCTTAGACATTTGGTCTTGGAACTGGGGAGGATACGAGACTGAACATCTCTATCTTTTGGGGCTTCGGCTTTGGGGGCTTCGGCCTTTGTACTTGTTACTGTTCATCATCTCCTTCAATAAAGATTTCTCTTGTTTCCTGATATTAGCTTCTGTAATCTCTGAATAGTTAGAGGTCTCTAACAATCGGCCTCTAGGTCGCCTGCGACAAATATAACGCGAACCGTCGCGCATCCTGTCCAGAGACTCGTCCATCTTAGTCCACATCTCCTTCACATGACGCTCAATGTTGTCCATACTTTACTCTATTCGGGGTGACACATAGAATTCATCCATCTATCCAGCTCGTTGATGATGATGATCGATCCAGAGGAGTGCTCTGATACCAATGATACGACCCTAATTTTGTGACTGTAAATTGATTGCTATTATTGAGGTAAAGCGTGGAAATGAAGAAGAAGATACAGACGAGGCGCTTCGAGAGACCTTCCCCCAGATCCCAATTCTTACTCAAATCCAGATTGCCCTCTTCCTATTCTATTCCTTCTATTTATTCTTTTCCAATGAGGCTTCCCCTCAATCTTACTAATGATAGGGCCCAGCCCACTTCCTTATTACAGCTTATTAAAATATTCAATATTATTTCTAGTAATTCTCTCGCCATAACTTTAGGTCCGTATCAGCCGCTGCCACAGAATCGACACACATCACCGCCCTTACAGTCTTGAACAACCCTACCTCCATCCCATCACCGCCCTTACCCATCCCAAACAACGCCCCACTGCACCACCCTTTCCTCGGCATTCACAGTTATTTTTGCTCCGCTTCCGACCCTTAGTCTGAAACCCTAGGTGCCGGCGTGAAGAACACGACCTAGGAGCTTCAGATCTAGATCTATGTCTCTGGTTGGGCTTTATTAATGGGAGTGTGGAGGATGTTTGCGGACAGAATAAAGGAGAAGATGAAAGGTTGACGACAAGAAAGGGAGTGGCGGAGGAAGGGATTGGTGCGAACGCGAATCGATGCACCATCAACGCTCGTCAACATATCTGGTCTTCCAGCTTAATGGATATGGCTGGCTAGTATTGGAATGGAATGGAGAGCTGGGAACGAGGTCATGACGTCTCAAGATTTGACCGGCCTAACGGAGATGGTGGTTTTGCGACGGAGGTGGAGTGGTGAAGCAACGGTGATGTATGGAGTTGATACCTGAAGCAGATGAACGAGCTTTGAACATCATCACTGTGACGGATGGTTTATTAGAATCATAGGCATTTAAGCCAGCTTTACATTTTACTCACTTTTTTGTCCAAACAAATTTCCATCATTTGCAATGGAGCCAAAGACTCACTACTTTTTGGCTTGGGAATATGATGGAATGTAGCAAAATGGTTCACTAAACTATATGGGCTTCTTTGTTATAAAGCAGCCGTCGTCACTATGGGTCATCTGGAAACAGTCTTTTGTGCTTGAGGGTAGGGGTAAGACTGCGTACATCCGACCACTATAGGTGGGAGCCTTTGCGGCACTATGGTAATGATGCTAATGATAGTGGTGAAGCGAGGAAGTAATATTTGTGCCATTCTTTGTAATAAATTGATGCATTCACAGGGCGTCAGTATCACCGTAAAAGAAAGAAAGATAAAAGTCAACAAATCACAATGGCAAATCAAACTGATTTGGAAGACAAATAAAATCAAACAAATCTGGGAGACAAATAAATCAGACAAATCTGATAGACATGTCACTGTCAGGGATTTGAGATCCTTAGAGATTTGAGATGTCATTTTCTGATTGCAATCTTTGAATTATTGTTTTCTGTTTAATTGTTTTCTTTATTTTATTTTCCAAGCTCTGTAAAGCCTATTTAAAGGCCAGTTGAATGCAGGGAAAAAGCATGCAAGTTTTTAGCAAGAAAAGTCTGAGGGAGTTTCTGGAATTCTCAACAAAAATTCCAACTTATAAAAGTTTGCATAATTATATTCTTCTTAGTTTTCTGCCCAAACAGTAAACATAGCCAACCCTTCCAAAGCTCAGTCTACCCTCCCACTCACCCGAAGGCCTGTGACGAGATCTTGCACACAAGCTGCCCGTAACATAAATACATTCTACATGTTCAAATTCAGAAATCATTGCACATTAGTACATAATTAAACATAAAATGCATTACATTTCTAGCAATGCAATGCATTAAACTTCTAGCAATGCGATGCATTATGAATGTCACAATGTTACTCGGAAAATGTCACACTATTTTCTATTAAAAAATCCCATAAAAAGAAATGCTAAATATTTAAAGAAACGGGTACCTGAATTCTTTTGGATTACAGAAACAACTCAAAATGCGAATTTGAAGTTTCCGAGTTTCCGAAAAGGGAATATGTGAGCCGCAGAAAGTTTTTAGGTTTCATAATGTATATTTTTATATGAAAGAATGACAAAAAGATGACCTCCATCTTTTTATTAGACAAAAATAGGATTAAAATTCGTTTGGACAAAAAACTAACTAAAGATACATCAATTGACTTAAATATCCTTGGCCTAATAAACCTATCCCAGCATCTCTCTTGAACATCAAACAATTCGGCATCGACATCCACCCTGTCTCGCTTGCCGCCTCCCTGCCTCGCCGTCCTCGTCTCCGCCCTACCTCGCCGTCCCACACCGCCATTCTTCCATCACACTCCACGTCTGTTGCAGCTCAGGTCGAAGTCCATCGCTCGAAGTTTGCCTCTATTAATCGAAATTGTCTTCTTCTTCCGTGGCTTCGACCTTCTCCAAACGGATTCCATCCTTCGTCTTCTTTCCGTTCGCGCATGGAGAATAATGGCCAGATCCGTGAGGTGTGAGAGGGTGACGTGTGGGCGGTGGACCGGACGTTTTGCTGGCAACTAAGCTTTTATTTCCAGTTAATTGATTTAGAAACAGATAGAAAGCATATGCGATGAGTACAAAATCAGTGGAACAGGGAGTTGATGATTTTGTTTCAATGATTGCTACAAATTGATTTCACTTCAGGTTGGTAGGGGTGAGGAGGTGGCAGGGGGGCAAGGCTGGAAGCTAGGGCGTGGTTTATGGGGCTGGGTGCGGCGTTGCTGGGTGGGCTGGCGGTTGGGGGCTATGGCATGACTAAGGCCTTAACTTGTGGGGCTGTGGGAAGACTGGTGGAAGGGTGGGGTGGGAGCTGGACTGGTGGAGGAGGGACGTGGCTGGTCACTGAGGCACTCGGGGTGTCTGCAAGGTGGCGTCGGGATTGTACATTCCACTAGTGGTTTGGTGACTCAATAGTGGCAGACTGGTCACTATTGATGATTGGTCAGTATGACTATGTCTAGTGACGGATCAATGAAGTGGTGGCTCCTCGAAAAGAATAGGTCACTGTAATCGACACTAGTTACTGGGGCGGGGATAATCACTGTAACCGGTGGTCATTGGGCGGTGGTCACTGTCCTGGTTGGTCACTGTGGCAATGGTAGTAATTGTGACGGTAGTCATTGGAGCGGTAGTAACTGAGAGGTGATCATTAGAGCGGTAATAATTGAGAGAAGGTCATTAGAGAATAATAACTGAAACGGTAGTCATTGGAGCGATAATAACGGGATGGTAGTTATTGAAGCGATAGTAACTGAGACGGTAGTCACTGGAGCGATAGTGACTGGGACTGTAGTCCCTGAAAAGGTATGATACGGACTTAGTATATTAATATAAATAGTACTGAGTATTTTATTAAGTAATTTTTATATGCTCAAAAATAGGGTTTCAGGCCCTATAGCTTATTGAAGTGGGTTGGCCCATTAGAAATAGAATAAAAGGGGGTAGGGGGGAGAATAAACGGAGGCAGAAAATCGGGACTGGGAATTGGGAGTGTGAGGCCACTCGAAGAGTCTCAATTGTTTTCCGTTTTCAGTACTTCATATCTAGGCTATTTTCCTTTTCAAAGTTTAGTTCCTATCATTGGTATCAGAGCCATTGACGATCGTTATTCCTGCGCATGGTCGTGACTCGATCGATAATGGAGCAACGTGTAGAAAGCATCGAACAAACCCTAGCGGAAGTGAAAACCACCGTGGACGAACTGCTGGGTCTGCGCGCAACGGTGGACGAACTGAGGAATATGATGTTACACAGTAATCGCCAGGGGAGGCGAGGACGATCGCGGGTGTCTAAGCAACATCGCCGGGAAGAAAGTGTGAACTCGTCGCATACCACAGGTAAGTCCGACAGTTCTCATGCTTCATCCCATACTCCGGAAACTGGTGCTGTAGACCGATGTTATGCTCGCACGGGCAGGAAGGTTGATTTCCCTGTCTTTAATGGGGAGGACGCACATGGGTGGATAATTAAGGTAGAGAGATTTTTCCGGTTGAATCAAGTTAAAGACAATGAGAAAATTGAAATGGTGGTGGTGGCTATGGAGGACAAGGCTTTAAATTGGTTCCAATGGTGGGAAGAACGGACTACGGCTCGTACTTGGGAAAATTTCCAGGACGCAGTTATTCGACGGTTCCAACCGGAGATGGTTCAAAACCCATATGGACCGATGCTTAGTGTGAAGCAAACCAGGTCAGTTATGGAGTATAGGGAGAAATTCGAACGGGTCGTAGCCCCCCACAGGAACACTGACAATGAGATGCTTAAGGGTATTTTCATGAATGGCTTGAAGGATGAAATCAAAGCCGAACTGAAATTGCATCCAACTCAATGTGTGACAGAGATCATGGATCGGGCACTTCTCCTGGAAAAGAAAAATGCGGCTCTGAAAATAAGAGGAAGCAAGGAGGAAGATAAGGGAGTATGTAACGGCCTGTTTGGATTGAGTGTTGAGGAGTGTTAGGGAGTGTTTGCAACTGCTTAAAAAAGCACTTCTCAGCTTTTGGCTTAAAAAAGCACTTATTTACCAAACCCTACCAATTTTTACTTTTTCTCGGCTTGCGTGTGAAAAGTGCTTTTCCCTTTTCTATTACACAAAAAGCACTTATTTTACCAAACACTACCAACTTTTACTTTTCAAATTCACTTTTTTTTCAAACACTATCAACTTTTACTACTAATCACTTTTTCCTTACATCTCCAAAAGTGCTTTTTTTAAGCAGAAGCAGTTGCAAACACTCCCTTAGTAATGGAAGTGTTAGTAAGTGTTGATGCTAACACTTGTTTGGGAGAAAAATCCAGAGGTGTTAAGAAGTGTTAGTAATGGTTAGGAAGTGTTAATAATAACCTTCCCAATACCTCAATTGTCCATTTTTTTAACACCACGATTTGGAGTGTTTTGAGGTGTTGGACAATTATTACCCTTCTCATTTACCCGAAAAACATAAAATGCTTCGACATTTCACTTCGAATGTCTTTCCCACGGGTCTGATGGTTTGTTTTTTCATCTCTTCTCTTTACTCGTTTCTTTTGCCTCAAGGTAAAATTATTAACACTTCCATTATTAACACTTCATTCATTTGACTCTCCCAAACAAGGTAAAATTATGTCTAACACTTACACTTCCCTTCCCTTCCGAGCCCTTACTAACACTTACTAACACTTCCATTACTAACACTTCCAAACACTCCATCCAAACAGGCCCTAAAGAGAAAGGGGGGGCTGTATCCAAGCCTCAACATTTGAGAGAAGGGAACTGGTGGAGAACTGATCAAAACAATATCAACCTGACTGAGAAGGTTTCTGCCCATATCAACGCAAAGGAAGCACCAAAACTAAACCCCACATGAGAGGGAGGTCAAAGGTTGACACAAGAAGAGTTAGAAGAAAGAAGCAAGAAAGGCCTATGCTTCAAATGTGGAAACAGGTGGAGCAAAAAACATGCTTGTGGAATGAAACACTATCAATTTGTCTTAATCGAAGATACAAAAGAAGAGAAAGGAACAGAAAATCCACTAACGGAATTGGAGGAAGCTGAAAACTCCATGAAACCAAACACCCGATCAATCTCTTATCATCCACCTTGAGGACAAGGTGGTTTTCAAAGGGGGGAGTGATGATACGGACTTAGTACTAATATAAATAGTACTGAGTATTTTATTAAGTAATTTTTATATGCTCAAAAATAGGGTTTCAGGCCCTATAGCTTATGAAGTGGGTTGGCCCATTAGAAATAGAATAAAAGAGGGTAGGGGGGAGAATAAACGGAGGCAGAAAATCGGGACTGGGAATTGGGAGTGTGAGGCCACTCGAAGAGTCTCAATTGTTTTCTGTTTTCGGTACTTCATATCTACGCTATTTTCCTTTTCAAAGTTTAGTTCCTATCAAGGTAGTAACTGGGACGGTGGTCACTGGAATGGTAGTAATTGGAACGGTGGTCACTGGAGCGGTAGTAACTGAGATGATGACACTGGAGCAGTAAAAGTAAATTGGGCCGGTGGTCACTGAAGCAGTAGTAACTGGGATGTTGGTCACTAGAACATTTGTCATACAATTTTCATATCTTAATATTTATCTTTAGAAATAATATTAAAATTAGAAAAACATTAATTGTCATAGACTTGATAAAAAACATTTGTCACTGGTGCATGGTTACAGATGTCATTGAAACCATATTCAATTAACAAAAACATTAATTGTGATAGTGCATTGCTACGTTTAAGTGTCTTACGGAAGGCATTAGTTACGGTGCAATGAATAGTTAGGAAGGAAGGGCTAATTAGTAAAGAATGTGCTCATTACTCACATTTTTGGAAATTAAGAAAAAGGTCTCTGATAGCGTATTAATTCTAGAGAGAAGTGAGAGCTAGAGAGAGAAAGTGAGTAATTATATTTCTCAACTTGGAACCCCCTATAATTAGCCCCTTGGGGTCTATTTATAGGTAAAAATGTGGTCTTGGGCTCCTAGCCTTGGGCTTAGGAGGCCCATTACAATAATCATGCCTTCTTTGGGCGAAATAAGGCCACTAATGGGCTGTGTACAACACTTAGTAAATACAGTGAAAAATACATTCTGCCTGGACGAAGTCCGGATGATGCGGTCCATGGACGATGCGGATCCTGGGTTTTGCCCAAGGATCCAGTCGATATCTTCTTTCTTGGACGTTGCGCGCCTCTGGACGATGCGGGTGTCCTGCTGGTGTCTTTTGGGCCGTTGAGTATGTGGGCCATGGGGTCCGGGCCCATATACTCTATCAGGAGTCCCCCACTCTCTGAGCTGAGGTGAAGCCGAAGCGAAAGGGAGTACTTGTTCCTTTCTGGCTGGCCATCGCGTGAGCCTAAGGTGCTCGGTGGCCGAAGAGGTTTTCTTTTGAATTTTATCCGAAGGGGTTTCTTCATTTAATGAAGACGAAGCGCCCTTGGGAATTCACAACCTTGAAACGGGCCGATGCACTCCCCCGTGGGAGTGCTTTTATGACGAAGCGATACGTTCTCCTATCCGTAGATGTGAATTTTTGGTGCGGATAAACTAGCATGTTCCCTTGTCATTTGTTGGGGCCGGAGAGCTCCTTTATAACTTTTTGTCCGCAGCGGTAGTCCTTGTCTTATGAAGTGAAGATGGTTGATTCCATCAATGTGGACGATGCGATGCACGTCTTTGACTTGTCATGCAGCCGAAGCGTTTTTGACTTGTGGGTTCTTGTTATGGTGAGCCGACGCAGTCCTCCCGGGGGACGCGGCCGTTGCGCGCTAGATCTCGTATTTTGGGTTTTTGATTTTTGGGCTCTGTGGCCGACGCGACTCGCAATGCTATTTGAGGTAGCTGATGCGACTCTCAATGCTTATTTAAGGTGAATTGTCCGTCTTTTGTTGCTGGTGAGCCGTAGCGCACCCTTTGTATTAAGGCCGTTGCGCTTCCTTTTCTTGTGCCGATACAGTCCCCCAGTCCCCCACTCCGTTGGCCGAAGAGTATCTGAGGCACAAGGGAGTAATGAGCCGTTTTGGTACCTATGCGTTAGTCGCGACTCCAACCCTTAGGCGAACCTGTCCAAGGTAACCCTGTGGGAGAACCCTTGGACGAAGGCCGCAATGCCAGGGTTATCATCGACGATGCGCGCATAGGCGGCCGTAGCGGTCTATTTAAAGTTCCTTGGGTTGTTGTGAGGACGTTGAGTTTAGGTTGATGCGTTCCTTTTTATCGGAAGTATGGGCCGATGCCTGCTTTGGAGCTTTGTGGTAGTTGGGCCGTAGCGGTATTCAGCCGATGCCTTGCTCTTTTGTAAGGTTGAGTTGGGCCGTAGGGGTGCTTGCATGAGTGATTTTGGATTGGTACCCCTTGATTGGTTGGCGGAGAGGTGGCCGTTGGTGGAGCCAATGGGATGGCGACACGTGTAGTGACCGTTGGAAGGCCTCTATAAATACCCCCTCATTCCGAAGCCGCTTCCTCATTTGTTCATGAATCTTTACCGTATCGGCCGAGGGAGCCATGAGAACTGTGCTGGCTATGCGGCCCTCCAGCAACTGCCGAAGAAGAGGTCATTCACTGACCTTCCCTCATCGATTCATGGGTGGAAAGCTAAGTTTTGTTTCGTGAAGTTGGCCGATGGGGTCTTTTTCCCCTCTCAAGGTCATAATGGTGTATTTAACCTGCACAATCCGCCGAGGAGTGCTGAGATTGATGCCCAAGTGGAGGCCTTCCTAAAGGGTGGGCCGTGGAGTGTAGATAAATACATCACTGAGTTTAAGATTGCCGCCCTTGGGATGATGCGGTACTTCATCCCCGGAGATCCTGATTGTGGACTGTGGCCGAGGATGTCTGGTTATTTCGAGGAGGCCGAAGGGCCTTACCTCGGTGTCCCCGCCGATGCCGAAGGTTGATTTCTTTCCCTTGACTCCCCTTATGATTTGCTTTGCTTGTTTTTCTAACTTCTTTGTTTTTTTTGCATCTGCAGACTTCACCATGAGCCGTAAGTTGTTCATGACCCAGGCCAAGAAGATGGTGGACAAGGAGATGCAGGCTGCTCAGCATGCCGAAGCGTCTAAGGCTTCAGGTGACGGCTCCAAGAGTCAAGCCGATGCCGCGAAGAAGGCGGCGGCCCAGAAGAAGAAGAAGAGGCCCACCGAGGGTCAGCAAACTCTGACCGAAGCCGGGTTGAAGCCGGCCCAGGGTGCTAAGAGGCCGAAGCAGGGTTTGCCCTCTGGTGATGCCGCTACGGCTGATGCGCAGGCTGCGGCTCAAAAAGAGCAGGTTTCTGATGTCCATGTGATTGAGGACCTGACCCTGAATGAGGCATCGGCTGCCCTTGTCCCTACGTCTCTGATTTCTGGTAAGAATGCCCAGGCAAGCTCCCGGAGCGGCCGTGATTTAGCCTCCGGGTTGTATGAGGTGACGGTCCGGTATCCGACAAAGGGTGGGCTATTCAACGAGAGGGTCTCTAGCCACGATGTCTTGTTCCAAGCCATTCCTGATGAGGACAGGGCGTATCTACGTCGGCAAGGCAAGGAAGTGCGCCTTTTTGATGGAGGGTTGGACTACGTCGTCCAAGTAAGTATATGATCTTGCACTTAGTTTTTCTCGCTTTGCTTTCCTTTTCTAACTCTTTAATTTGTCCTTTACAGGGTGCCTTGATGCTGATGGAGCAGCACCGTCGGCAGGAGGAGGAGATTGCTCGCCTTCAGGAGGCTGAGAAAAGAGCTGCTTCGGCCGATGAGGCCTTGGCTTCCCTTGAGCTGCTCCGATCCGAGGTCGGCTCGCTGAAGGAGATGGCCGATGTGGCCGAAGCACGGGCCGCTGCAGCTGAGGCCAAATTGGAGGGGGAGGCCGCAGCTCGCCGGTTGGCAGAAGAGAAGGCGAAGAAGGCCGAGGAGCTGAAGGCCGAAGCGGAGAGGGCTGTCGAGAAGGCTGTTGATCTGTTCATGGCCGAGGGGTGGAAGGCCGATGAACATCGCCAGTTCTGCTTCAAGGTGGTGGCCGATCGCTTCCAGGCTTGGTCACAAGAAGATCCGGCCGGCCAGGCTTTTTGGAAGCAAGAGATGGAGGTCTTTTATGACCTAGGCCAGCGGCGCATGCAGATGCTGGTCTACCGGAGGCTTCGTCGGCGTGTAAAGAATCTGAAGCCGCAAGGGATCGGCCTTCCTCGCCTGATGAAGGACCCTGAGGAAGAATTGAAGCTTCCTCTGGCCGAAAGGCAGCGTCCTATTTTGAGCTCTGATGAGGAGAAGGAGCCCTAGACTGAAAGTGATGACTACCTTTTCAGGAGTTCGGCCAAGTCGAAAACCGCCGATGATGTCGAAGACGATGCCGACAGTGGGGCTGTTGAGGGTGGCCAAGGACAGGCCGGAGATGTAGCTTAGTGTTATTCCTTCTCTCTTTTTTTTGTCTTAGACGTAGCGTCTGGTAGATTAGTCATTGGCCGAAGTGCCCCCCTGATGTACTTGACATCCGAATTTAATGAACTCTTTTGTCTTTGAATGAATGTGTTGCTGCTTTGTCTTCATCGTCTTAACTTCATATGTGTTTTATTCTCGCGATTTTTGCCAAGTGTCAGAGTTGCTTTTGATTGGGACGAAGCGTCCCTCGTCTATGTATTTATGTAGATTGTTTTCCTTGGAATTTTTCTAAGTGTGGGCACCCAAATATGCCTTGCTTGCTTAAGACGATGCGAAGCTTCATCCGGGTGCCTCATGAGGACGATGTGGGTGGCGCAACGTCTTGGGTATGTTGTCCTTTGTCGTGGGGACGATGTGTCCAGTGACGTGTACCTTTGGTTGGAAATTTTTCCAAGTACCACAATTCCGTTTTGGCGTCTTTTAATTGAGACGTAGCGACCCCCATTCTTTGAGGACGATGCGCCTCGTCGCCCCTTGATGAATTCCATTTTTGCCTTGACAACTTTTCCGAGTCAAGTTTTTGGAACTTAATCCTGAAGTGTTGAGGACGAAGCGCCTCGTCGTCTTTGTGGTGATGTGACTTAGAAAATTTTCTAAATGTCAAGCTTTCTTGATATAGGCGCTTTCCTTTGGTTCGTCGCTTGGGTTTTGCTAATTGGAGACGATGCACTCCTTCGTCCAAGTGATGGAATGTGGCCTCGTATGGTTGAAGCCGGAGCGATTCAATATTATGTTATGGTTGAGACCGAAGTGTGTACCTCGTATTCGTGCAAGGTGAACCTGATATGTACTTTAGCCAAATCTGAGGCTTGGTTTTTGTGGGGATTTTATTTTATGCTCGAGGCCGGCGAGTGCGCGGTCCGTCGGCTTCCCTCTTCTTTTTTTTTTTTTTTTTTTTGTGGTAGCCGAAGGGTTACTGTCCCTTCGTCCATGTGCGGTAGTTTGTCCGCTACGCTTTTCGCGTGGATTAGTGCGAGGGAGTAAATACGCCCTCGGCTTCGTGTGTCAGTGGCATCTTTTTTGGCCTTTCCACGTCTATCGTCGACGAGGGACCGGACTAGGCATCGTCTTTTGACGGCCGCCCTTTGTGGTCCTGAGCGAAATTTTACTGACGGGTGGAGTTTTTGTAACCTCGGCCTTAATTCAGGCTTGTCGTCCTGCGGTTTCCGCGCGGACGACGCGGTATGCTTCTCCGTTTGAAGACGTCGGACCATGCACACAGGTCCTTCGTCCTACATATCGCCGGCCGATTTGGGTGTTTCACCGTTTGTGCCGATACGATATTTGGGTGCGTTTGTCTATGCAACGGCTTTGTAGGCGCGTTGTGGGTCACAACAGCCTTAGGTGCGTCGTTTATTGCGACGGCTTTAGGTGCGTTGTTTATTGCAACGGCTTTGGGTGCGTCGTTTATTGCGATGGTTTTAGGTGCGTTGTTTATTGCAACGGCTTTGGGTGCGTCGTTTTTTGCGACGGCTTTGAGTCGCATCGGTCCTGGGTGTTACCACCGCTTAGGTCGATGCGGTCTTTAGCTTTTCCTTTGAAAGAATGGATTGAAACATGATCTTTATTCAATAAGTGGCGCTAGGCCGAGGGTCTTTCATTCAACCAATACGCCGAGGGGTGGGGGACGTTGCCCGCTTCACCACTTCTCGAGTTATTGGTAAAATTTCACCAAATGGTGTACATTCCACAATCGTGGTACATCTGACCCATTAGGGTTCTTTAGTCTATAGGTGCCGGCTTTGATGACGGCGCTGATGATGTAGGGCCCTTCAAATTTGACGGCGAGCTTTCCTCCTTCCGTTGGTTTGCTCGCTTCCCTTCGGCGGAGGACGTAGTCCCCCACTTGGAATTCGCGAGAGCGGACCTTGGCGTTGTAGTAGGATTTGACTTGTCGTCTGTAGTTCTCCGCTCTGAGGTAGGCCATTTCTCGTCTCTCGTCAATGAGGTGCAAGTCAATCTTCATGGCTTCTTCATTGGCTTCGGGGTCGTATTGTGTGACCCGTCGGCTGGGGAGGGTGACTTCGGTAGGAGTCTTGGCTTCGAAGCCGTAGCACAAGGAGAATGGTGTCTCCCCGGTGGCCCTCCTTGGAGTGGTGCGGTAGGACCATAGCACGTTGGGGAGCTCGTCCACCCAACTACCGCCTTCTTCCTCCAGCTTCTTCTTCAGCCCCTCCAAGATGGTTCTGTTGGCGTTCTCAACTTGCCCGTTGGCCTGAGGGTAGGCGACGGATGAAAAACGGTGTTTGATGCCCCATTCTTGGAGGAGGCTTTGGAACGGTTCGGCTTCAAATTGGGTGCCGTTGTCTGATATGATCTCCTGGGGCACGCCGAAGCGGGTGAGGATGTTCTTGTAGACGAACTTTCGACACCGCGCTCCGGTGATGCTTGCGAGTGGTTCGGCTTCGACCCATTTGGTGAAGTAGTCGATGGCGACGATGATGTATCTGTTGTTGCCTGCGGCTCTTGGTAGTGGGCCGACGAGGTCGATGCCCCATCTGGAAAATGGGATGGCAGTGCTGACCGGGGCGTAGTTGACGGCCGGCCGGCCAGGTGCCCTTTGGTAGTGTTGGCATGCGCTGCATTTGCGGGCGACTTCAGCACAATCGCGTGCCATCGTCGGCCAAAAGTAGCCTTGGACGACGAGGCGGCGCGACATGCTGAAGGGCCCCTGATGTGATGAGCATACGCCGCAGTGGACTTCTTCCATGGCCACTTCGGCCTCATTCTGGTGGAGGCACCGGAGGAGGGTGCCATTGTATGATCTCTTGTAGAGCTTGTCACCCTCAATGACATAGCTTGGCGCCCTAAGTTTGGCGAGTTTAGCCCTCTCCTCGTCTTCAGGTAGTGTGCCGGAGGTGATGTAGGTTGCGATGTCAGTGATCCAATCCTCCGGCTGGTGTTGTATGGAGAGTATAGGGCTAGCGTGAATGCTTGACATGCTCAACTCCTCCACCTTCGCTATCTTGGAGATGTGCTCAGGGGGTGTCGGAGCTGAGTTTGGAGAGTATGTCGGCCTCGGCGTTCTCTGCCCTTGGGATCTGAGTGATCTCGTAGGTATCGAACGCCTTGAGCAATTCCGCAGCGGCCTCCTTGTATTGCTTCATTCTCCCCTCTTTGGCCTCGTAGGAGCCCTCCATCTGGTTCACTACGAGTTTGGAGTCGCATTTGATTCTGATGTGGCGTGCTTTGAGGCCAGCGGCTAGTCTGAGCCCGCTGAGGAGCGCTTCATACTCGGCTTCATTGTTGGATACCTTGAAATTGAAGCGGATGACATAGTATGCTCTGAATCCTTCTGGGGAGATGAGGACGACGCCACCCCCACAAGCTTTGGTGGCCGATGACCCGTCTGTGTAGAGGGTCCAGGCTTCGTCTGGTTCAGATCCCGTGGTGGTGACGGCCGTCTCCCTTGCTGTGCACTCGGTGACAAAGTCAGCCAAGGCTTGCCCTTTGATAGATGGCCTCGACTTGATCTCAATCTGGTACTGGCTTAAGAATATTGCCCACTTGATCATCCTTGGAGAGCTGGTTGGGCTCCTCATGAGGGCGCCCAACGGCTGATGCGTGAGGACGTGGACGGGGTGAGCCTGGAAATAGTGCCCCAGCTTCTTCACCGTGTGGACGATGGCCAACAACGTCTTCTCAATGGGGGAGTACCTGAGCTCGGCCTCCCGCAACATCTTGCTGACGTAAAATATTGCCTTTTGTACTCCGTCCTCCTCCCTGATGAGTACAGAGCTCACGGCCGACGTGCTCACCCCCAAGTAGAGGAAGAGAGTCTCGCCGGGTTGGGGCTTGGATAGGACGGGTGGGGAGGCGAGATATTGCTTCAGCTCTTCAAAGGCTTGTTGGCACTCCGTCGTCCATTTGAAGCTGGTGGCCTTCCTCATTATCTGGAAGAAAGGGAGCGATTTCTCCGCGGACTTTGAAAGGAAACGGTTCAGGGCCGCAAGGCGTCCCGTCAGCCGTTGCACTTCTTTGATGTTGCGGGGCGGTTCCATGTTGATAATGGCTTGTATCTTCTCCGGGTTTACTTCGATGCCCCTTCGGCTGACCAGGTACCCCAGGAATTTACCTCCCTGGACGCCGAAGGTGCACTTCTTCGGGTTGAGTCGGAGGTTGTACCTCTTCATGATGTCGAAGATGCCCCGGAGGTCGTCGGCATGAGTTGTGGATTGTTTGCTTTTAACAATCATGTCATCGACGTATGCTTCCATCGTCCGGCCCAAGACTGCTCTAAAAACCCGGGCTACCATTCTTGTATAAGTGGCACCGGAATTTTTGAGCCCAAAGGCCATGACGAGGTAGCAAAAGATTCCCTCCGGGGTCATAAAAGCAGTCTTCTCCGCGTCATCTTCATGCATGGATATCTGGTGGTACCCTCTGAACGCGTCGAGGAACGACATCAACTCGCACCCCGCCGTTTCGTCCACCAACTGATCAATGTTGGGGAGAGGGAATGGGTCCATTGGACACGCCTTGTTCAGGTCAGTGTAATCAACACACATTCTGAATGTGGGCGGCTTTGGTGCGAGGACGACGTTTGCCAACCACGTGGGGTACTTCACCTCTTTTATGTGCTTGATGGAGAGCAGCATGGCCACTTCGGTCTTGACGAATTCCCTCCTGTCAGCCGAGAGGTAGCGTTTCTTCTGTTTGATGGGGGAGGAGGCCGGGTTCACCGATAGCCGATGTGTGATTACCTTTGGGCTGATGCCCGGCATGTCCTCTGGTCCCCATGCGAAGACGACGGCGTACGCTCTCAGGACGGAGAGTATGTCCCTTCGGATATCTTGGGGGTGCTGGGTCCCGATCTTCAGCATGCGTTCCGGCCGGGAGACGTCCAACGGAACATCTTCCACGTCTCCGACCGGTTCGGCCTTTGGTGTGTCCTCTTCGACCGAGGCGGTGGTGATAGTGTCTATCCGCTCCTCGGCCTCATTGATCTTCCTGATGAGCTTGAGGTAGCAAGCCCTGGCTATATTCTGATTTCCTCTGGCATAGCCGACGCCGTCCTTGGTGGGAAACTTGAGGCATAGATGTTTCATGGAGATGATGGCCTCAAGGTCCTCCAAAGTCGGTCGGCCCCAGATCATG